TAAAAGTTTGCGAACAAACAAAGGGATAGAGAATATTAATTTTCCCTATGTATCGCAAAATATATACAATACTGTATCAACCAGGATAAAAGAAGAATTCGCATCGTGCTGCAGCGCAAAAACAAGGTATTAACTATGGATTAATACATAAAATAAACGACATATAAAACAAATATTTTACAATTTTATCACAACCTATAAATTTAAAATATAATATTCTTTTATTTAATACATTTTACATAATAAATTTCTAAATAAATATCTTTTCCATTTAATTTTAATTTATATATATATATATATTTATTTAAAAATTTTTTAGGTTTATTTAAAGTGATATATTCTATAAAAATTAAAAATATTTTTTTATTTTTTGTTTCCGGCAATAATTACAGCCACTAAGATGTACACGAAATCAAGTCATACGGCGAGGCGCCAAACTGAATGTTTATATTTTTATTCCCAGCAAATGAGAATGGATTAAAATGGATTGAATTTTTTTCTATCCGAATGCGTATTTTAAATAGCGAATACTTTTTTTTGGATTTAATTGGATTCAATTGGATTCAATTAGATTCAATTAGATTAGATAGTATTATTTATAATACTCTTTTTTTCACATAATAATTTGTATGTACTCTACAATAATTATATCAAAAAACATGCAAAAAGTTTTAAAATGATAAATATTAGTCTTTCTTTTGAAAAAAATTATGAGAAATTACCATTTTTTCGATCTGCTAATTGTAGGAGGAAATTACAGCATTTGAGGTTGGCTCGACACTCCTATCGATTCTTAAGTAAAGTATCGATACTTCGAACGATACTCGGATCCAAATGTACTTATATCAGAGATATATCGATACCGCATTCGTCTCGATACTTTCATACTGTTCTGACTGATATTATCGTGATTAGTTATTATAATGGCATTTTCTAAAGATCTCAGCTTTTTACCTCTGTGGCAAAATGGGCCATCTCCTGGTGCATTTTATCATTTTCCAGGCACCCAGAACGGCACCGGTGGATTCCAAAAATCACAGTATGTTTTAACTATAATTCACAAACATTTTTTATCCGTTTGCAATTTTTTGTATATAACCTATACATCTCTATGTAAATCTCGCATGTCATCTTCTCTCTTATGGAACAAATTAACGAAGTGAAATTAACGAAGTGAAAAAATACTTGAGACTTTATTAGATAAATTTCCGAAATGGCATAAGGACTTGATGAGTTCTACTTTAACTCATTCTGTTATTTGCAGATCTCCTATAACGACTGGTACATCTGTCATTGGTATACAATTCAATGACGGAGTCGTTATATCAGCGGATATCTTAGGATCTTATGGATCTCTCGCTCGCTATAGAAATCTAGAGCGTCTTATGAAAGTTAATGATAACATCATTCTTGGTGCATCTGGAGATTATGCAGATTTTCAATGTATCAAGAGTTATGTAGAAAAGAAGATGTAAGTCGTTGTAATCATTCTAGTTTTTTACACATCTTTATTTTTAAAATATTCTGTTCTTGGTTTACTATATAAGATAAATTAATGAATGTTTCTGAAAATTGTTCTATAATATAATGTCATTTGATGAGATACTGAAGAACAGTGTCAATGTGGTTATGATATATAGTTTTGATTTGACGCTTAGTGTCTGATAGTTAATACTCTGTGTGGAGCCAGTATTATAATATTATAAAAATGAAAAAAATTAGAAAATCATTTATTTCACTATTATCATGATGATGATGATGATGATGGATGACTATTAATGTTTCAAACATTTTGGAAGACATATGTTTATATGATGTTTTTCAGCTTATTTTAGTATAATACTTTAGATTTATCCCATGAAAATATTAAGATCGAATTATGAAATCTTGTATACATCGTTTTCATGCAATTTTCTCTATAGTGTCAATTTTGATATTGATTATAGTCTATTTTAAAAATGAGTATCAAATGATTGAGTGCCTTTTTATCCTGATACTAGATGCACATTTTCAGCATTAAAATAGATTATGAATGATCAAAATTGCTAGAGTGAAAATACATGAAAAGGATATAGCATCTACATAGCGTTTCCAATTTTTTGAACCAAGCAATCTGACACTGAAGGTTTTATCCAACATCTTTTTGATTTTTCTGGGTATAAAGTTCTCTTTAAGTATATTAGATTTTTCAACAAATATTAAAAGACACTATTATATTACATCAATATTTTTGTTTTAGTCTGGAAGAGCAATGCTTGGATGATGGATTTAGTTTGAAGCCAAAAGCGCTGCATTGCTGGTTGACACGTGTCATGTATAACAGACGATCAAATTTTGATCCATTTTGGAATAATTTTGTTATTGCCGGCTTGGAAGATGGACAACCGTAAGTATTCAATATATTCCTTCAACATAAGCAACTTGTGTCTTCAGATTTAACATAAATCATGATTTCCTTTCAGATTTTTGGCAACTGTAGATAAGCTTGGAACAGCTTACAAAGATCCCGTCATTGCGACTGGATATGGCGCTTATATGGCAACACCTATTCTGAGAAAAGCATATGAAGAAAATAGTCAAATGAGTAAAGAAGATGCTATTCAACTTATATACAAAGTAAATCAAGTTCTTTTCTACAGAGATGCAAGATCTTTCCCAAAGGTATCTACCAAACTATCAAAATTCATGTATACGTAATTAATAATTTTAAATTGTTAATGATTTATTTCGCTCTTTTAGTATCATTTGGGTATTGTTACGAAAGAAAAAGGAGTTGAAATACAAGGACCGATAGACGTAGAAAGTTATTGGGGACCCGCAATTCTGTAAAATTATAATGTTTTCATATTCTTTCAAAATAAGTTATAATAAAAAAAATTATAGGTTGAAAGTATATATTCTTTTTTAATTAAATTTGAAAAAAAGTTTTCGTTAATTGTACATTCTTAATTTTTATTTTGTTAACACATAAAAATATGGATATAATATTCAAAATTAAAACAACACATATAAATTAATTTATATATGTCTTTATATACATTAAAAATAATACATATATTCAATGGATCCTTTGTTGTATAAATAAATGATACTAATCAGAAACTAAAGCGTTAGTATTTCGCATCCAATATCTGTTATTAAAATTGTGTGTTCGACTTGAGCTGTCCTAGAATCGTCGACTGTACAAACTGTCCATCCATCTTCTAGAATTATGGTCTCTATTGTTCCTTGACTCAAAGCTGGCTCGATAGTAAATGTCATACCTGCTTTCATTCTCGCAGGAAAATTATTTGCTATAAAACAGAAAAAATAAGCATCGAAATATTAGTGACGATTTGATATATTTACAATACATAACAATTTATTCTGAGATCAAGGAATGTTTTATGTAGAAATTATTTTATAAAAACGACTCAGATAATTTCTTATTGGTCATCTGCATCGACATATACTACTGGACGGAGCATTAGCATCGAAACCATCTTGACAGACCTAGAAAGAGAGTTCGATCGATAGGACAATAGTAGAAAGAAAATTTCCGCGCCCACACATTTACCTTTCTCTTTCTAGGTTCGTAAGACGAAAGATCAAAGACATTTCGCCGCATGCTCCGTCCAGTATTATATGTCGATGGTTATCTGTGTAATGCATTAATGTTAGTGAAATATTTTCATTTGTACCAAAGTGATAAATGTCTGGAGCACCATGAAAGTAAGTTCCAATACCATGACCCAAAAATGCGGGTATTACATTCAAATTATGTTCATTTGCTGTCTTTTCTATCACATTACCTAGAAAGAAATAGAAAGATTTTACAGTGCCGAAAATAACATACAGATAAGTTCAGATTTTAATGATATACATATTATTACCAATATTACAAAAATGCTCATTTGGTTTGCATATTTCAATAGCTGACTTTAAACATAATTCTGTGACTGTTATCAATCGTTTGCCTTCCGAGTCTACTTCACCCACTTGAAACATAGCTGAACAATCGCCATGATAACCATTAAGATATACCTATTTAAACAAAAAATATTAACTTTTTAAAGAACTTATAACATTTTATCGAATAGAAAAAAAAATTTCATTTTCTTTAAAAAAATAAAGCTACTCACTGTTATATCAACATTGAGTATATCACCTTCTTGTAAAGGCCTATTGTCTGGAATACCATGGCAAGCGATGTTGTTAACACTTGTACATATAGATTTGGGAAAGCCATGGTAGTTAAGTGGACTGGGATAAGCTCCGTTACCAATGATCATATCATGTACTTGTTTGTCAAGAAAATCAGTTGTAATACCTGGCTAGCATATATTAATTTTGTTTTATATTTAGTTTATTATAATATTTAATGCATAGATGTATATCTGAAAACTATTAATAATTCCTGGGGATACATTCCAAAAACCAAAAAGAAAAAAAAAAATATATATATATACGTTGCTCTTAAAATATTATTTCTTAACTATATATTCAACATACATGTAACAATCCTTACACAGATTTTAATTGCTTAGTGAACGATAAATTTATATGGACATTCTTATTCGGTTTATGAAACTTGTGACCCCAAGATGCATATCTTTCAGATATTATCAGTACAGAACTTCAGATTCGCCATATTCTTCATCTAAACATTTGTTTGTGAGAGATTTTAAGCTGATAAGCGAGGCAACATGAATCTGGACTTTTATATAATATGTAAGAAATAATTCACCTCAATTAATGTGCCAGCTTGACGCAGAATACGACTAGCAAGTTTACAACTGTGCCTCATACATTCTATTTGATATTCATCTTTGATCTCAGGCATTGTTGGCCCTTTTTTGGGTATCATAGACTGACTGTAGGATGGCTGGGGTATGTATGCAGGTACAGTAACTTTTTCAGAAACTATCCAAGGTTGGACTATAGCGTACTTTCCAAAAGAATTATCATTACGGATATCAACAAATCTGTGTTTTTCTCCAAACTAGAATAAATAATACGTTTTTATAAAGTAATTCAGTATCTCTCTCAATAAGTGTATTAGATTTCATACATGAGAAATATATTTTATCATTTAATTCTTGATATTTATCGAATATTAAAGGAGGATAAAATAATATATTATAGGTATCATATGTGAAATAGAATGCATTCAATGGCTGTGTTCCAAAATTTACTGCCAGTACTGAAAATCTATAGTGCACTTAATGTAAACTATAGATTTTCAGTATCGGCAGTTTAAATTTTATAACACAACCAATATCTTTTACAACAGTGTTGTTCAAAATTTTTTCATCATTTATAATTCTAGATATTATTTTATATCAATATTTATTATGTCTTACTGTCTTTCCTTTTTTATCTCTAGCAAAAATTATAAATCTACAAATCTTGAACAGTATTGTCTCATTATCTGATTAAACTAATTATTAGTCTGACCTAATAATGTAATAATAAATATATATATTCTTAAATTTATAGATAAAAACAGACATACCTCTGACATGGTCTTAAGAAAGTTTGAAAGATACGTTTTAGAGGCTTGTACCATTTGAACAATACCCTTGGTCGAACGCATGTTCCACGATATTTATTTTGGATAATTCTTATATATCTCCTGGTTAATTTGCCGATCTCTCTTATAAAGATCAAAGTTCCAAATTGTTATCGTCTGAAAATCGAACTAGAGTCTTCTCAAGAAAGAGAGCCACTTTTTTGTTCCTTTTCCAATGAAAATTAGTTTATCTTCTCTTAGAGTCAGCTGATTCGTGTCGAGTAATTATTTACTTTAACCACGTCAACTCAGAAATCGATGAAATTAGGTTCATTCGACGTGTTTTTGTTGGAAACGAATGAATTTGACTGAAAAAAGCGTCACTCTGTACTGCAAACCAAGTTATTAATCTCGATTTAAGTCAAAATGATTAAAATTGATTATTCAGGTTAAGAAATCTGTCACAGCCACACAACGTATATAACATCTATATCTATGGCTATGGACATTTAATGCTACAAATGTTCCGAAGCATTTTTTGATTTGTCAGTAAGTAAAATTCTTTCTTCCAATTGATCAATTTTCGAAGCATTTGCAGTATTAAATGGCTCTCTACATCATAGATCCCAACGTTACCAATGGCTTAGTTTCCACCGAGAGTTTAAACTGGATTAGAATGTAAGAACTGACCAATTACAATCGAGTATTCCCCTGTATAGTCAAATGACAGATAGATCCATGTGACACACTGTATCACTTGTTACTGGAAGACACACAGACAGTGTCATCCAGTATGCAGTAGACTTTAGTGAGCGGTTGCATCTGATTGGCATACTCCATTAAATCTAAAAATATAGACCAATCAGATACAAGAGCTCACTAAGTGCTCAGTGAGCGATCGTCGTACTGAATGCACCCAATACATTTGGTGAGTACATGAAATTAAAGTGAGGTTACGTTAAGTTCGTGTTCATGTTGTGCCGTGAATTAAAATTACGATCAAATTTTAAGAAATGCAGCAAATACTGTGAATAATAAAGAGCTTCTTTTACACACAATTCGTATTATAAGATTTGATCACATAGTCGCGAAGGAGTTGAACGAGTGCATATGTATCTCAGCATATGCATGTTTACGCACGCGAAAAATACTATTTGTAATTATTCATTGATAAAAAATATATCAATCAATGCGTTACTTTGTGAATCGAATAAATCTAGAAGAAAAAAGTGTCGTTCGGCTACATTTATTACATAATAATTTAATGAATATTCATGGGTTTCAAGATATATTATAGATAGATATATCTATTTTATAAGTATTTCTGCAAAGTTATGTATTGGTTTCTATAAATAAATATTCCAAGTTAATGCAAATTTATATTTTTTAATTTCATTGTATATTATGTATAAGTATAATATATATATGTATACATTTGAAGTGTGTCATAAAATATATTCTTCTTAATATATTGCAAAGAGAACTTATTGAGTAAATACTGTACAGATATTAATATTCAAATGGATGATATTCTTTTAATTAATGTCCTTTTTAATTCTGAACATTGGTTAGAGATGGATAAATTTTCTTTCACACTATCAAAGAAAATTTCCACTTTTATTTTCCATATGAACACATTTGAACAAGTACTTGACCAAATATCTAAAGATAATCATATTTTTTATCATATTTTGGAATATTTTCTCATTCTTTTCCAATACATTCAATATGTTGAATATGTGTTCCTACAAAATAATAAAGTAATTTTTTATAATTTTATGTAATAAATTCTCTTTATAATATTAAGAAACATATATACAAAGTGTCCTATTTTTAATGACGACCTCAAATTTCTCTTGAACAGTGCATTAGAGAAAAATGTTTCAGACAAAAGTTTTGTAGGGGGACATACAATTAAAAAATATATTTAAACGTTAACTTAGAATATTAATATTATTAATACTATTAATACTATTAATACTATTAACAGACCTGGAATTGTGTTGTGATCAAAGCATTTGCCTCGTATAAAAAATTTGGAAATATGCAAAAATGCAATAAATTTCTATTTTATTTATTCGCTATCAACGATGATTATACTTACCTACTTGTTGTATATTACAAGTAAAACGAAATACATATAAAGATATGAATTTTGATAAGAATTTGTGAGCACAAAAAGTATTACTTTAAATGAAAAACATTTTCCATGAATTTTTACAATAATTATCTGTTATATAAATACTATACATATGTACTTTGATTTTACTTTTAAACTATGTTTTTATTGCATATAATATACTTGTATACATAATCTGCATGTTAACTATAGTATTGTATTATATTTTATATCTATTATTCTGTTAACATGTAGTTCTCTGTTAACAGTCTTTTTATATAACTTTGCAATAAATTAAATTATTTAATTAATTAATTAATTATAGTGATGATTCAATAATCGAGACAAGAATAAATTATTAATGCTCTATAATATCAGTTGGTTTAATATAATTCATTTTGTCTCTCGATTTATAATATAAAGTACATACATGAGTAATATAGTCATACATATAAAAATAATAGCACGTACATCCAATATTAAAATTAGACTGTATTCTGAAGACGTAGCCGGGTAAATTAATACTATAATTGATTCTTGGTTACGATTGGTTACGATTGGTTAAGTTACATTTAAGGTAAGTTTCGTTTTTACGCTCACACGCTGTAAGTATTATTTCTTCCTTATATTAAACACACTCATATATTAAACACAATCATCATTAAACATACAATAATGCTTACTGTGCTATAAGTGGTAGTAAGGAACATACTTAAGGTAGTACATTCGCGATAATATTATCAGAAGTTAAGTCCCCTCGAATGTTTGATACGTGACTTTTCACTTCCTCTAGTGAGAGAAAACTTTTGATTCCACCTGTTCATTCATAGTCGCAAACACATGGAAAAAGTGAACACTGATGAGACGCAGCCTAACGTAGCTCATTGCTATTTCCATTCATATGATGCATTGACAAATGTTTACAAAAATTGAATTCTTGTCACGACACTTTTTCAGATTAAATGATAAAAAATTATATGACATTTGTTTCATAATATCCCTTTCAACTTCCTCGCATAGCCGTTTTTTATTAACATATCACTGCTAGTTTGAACACCACAAAAAGAAACGTGACATTTTCATTAACTTTGTGTAGGTGACACGTATAAAAAGTGTGGTTTTCAATTTCTTACATCTCAGTACTGTAACCTCAATCTCATTGCAATTGTACAAGCGTAACAACGTCTTCTAGTAAAATATGTATAGCATCAATTTCAAAAAATTCTGTTTTCAATTTGCGAGTGTACCTTAAACTCAACAAGGACATAAAATTATTAAAATAATTAAGCAATGAGAATTTACTGGACGCATTGTCACTCTGATGAAAATATGTAGCTTGTCGAAGAAGTGTGAACAAAGAATTTTAACGCTTCTTAAACACTTCATCAACTTTTCATTGACTTTTAGGGATTTTGAATATTCATACGTGCCCTTCGAACTCTCGCCAAACGCTCCGTAAAGTGTGCCTGAAACACATCTGTTACATTTCCCACACATTTTAAATATTTTTTTTCATTAACATTTCTCATATGCTCTTCAACACTTCGCAAGGAATGCATGGAGCATATTGATACACTTCCTAATACTTTATTCATTGATACTTCATTTATGCTTCCTAAATGTGCCGCAAAAAGTACACGGAGCATTCGTTTTGTGTCCACTTCCAGAATATAGAAATAAAAAAATTTATTTTAAAACCAGAGAGATTTAGTGAGAACTAACTTCTCAAATTTAAAAAAACCGTACAGACTAGGGTAAAAGACATAGCATTGAAAGATTTTTCAATTGTGTTCTAATGAAATAATTTTTTGAAGTAAGCCCCTAGGACTCCAAGAAGAAAGCATAACACTTTTTTTTAGATATTTACTGAATAAGTGAAATATATTTTAAAATATTATTTGCTTACCAAGGACCTCGATTACATTTCATTCACGTTCATCCAAGAACTCGACGATGCTTCGTTTATGTTCTCTAGATTACCTAGTCACGCTCCGTTTACATTCAACGAACATTCTGCTTGCCGAAGAACTTATCTATACTTTATTTATGTTTCTTTAACATTTAGTCGATGCTTCCTTTACATTCCACGTTCCAATTTTCGCTTCTTTCATTCGGGTTTCATTTACGTTTCCGTTACTCCTTTCTTACATTTCCTTTACGCTCCAATTAACACTTTATTGACACTCGTTTTATGTTTCAGTTTCATCAGATTGTTGAACTGCTTCATTAAGAATGGCCATAATTCGTTGAACTGTTTGTTCTTCATTCGTCTTACAGGTGTCATCACTGGTGTCATTGTTGTGATTCTAAAAATAAATAATTTTTATATATAAAATGTGGTATATTGCAATTATCTGTTATAATATATGGTTATAATTATATAACAGAAATAAGAAGACAAATGAGAATTTGCTTAAATCAATTAAATGTTTTCTCGTGAAAGACCTTTCGCAAATGTACAATAAATGTGTTTCTATGTTTGAAGCCCTTGCCACACTCCGAACATTCAAAAAACTTTTTATTGCTGTGTACCAAACTGTGGCTGGCCTTGTGATGTTTGGTACGAAAGCCTTTGCCGCAAACCTAAAATACAACACATTTATGTCTAACGAAATGTAAAAATATAAACAATCATATGAGAAATAAAAAAAGATATTAATGATAATTTTGTAGCACATACCTTACAAACATGTGATTTACTGCTTTTATGTATAATATTTATGTGCGCGTTAAAGGTCCTCTGATGGGTAAATGTAGATGGACATTCGTTACATTTGTACTTTCTTTCAGGATGATCCGTGTCTGTATGATTACGCAAATCTTGTTGAGTTTTGAAATATGTCTTACACACGATACATTTGAAAGTTTTATCAATAGTATGCCTCGCCTCTGTATGCCTTTCTAGATTCCCTTTTCGACTACAAAATGATCGTAGCAACATTATTATTTATCATTTGTTATCAATTAATTTCAGAATAAATATCGAATTTTTCTAATTGTTGTTATTCACTTAAATACTCACGTAAATGCTTCTTCACAAAACTGACACTGATAAGGTTTTTTCTCTGCATGAAGCAGAACATGACGACCCAATTCCGATTCATATTGAAACGCTCTATCACACGTTCCGCATTTATAGGGTTTAACTTGAAAATGTACGTCTTTATAATGTTGTTTCCAAGTTCTCGAAGAGGTAAATTGCTTGTCTTTAATATTAAGGAAAATTATTATTATCAAATGAATATAAAAATGGTAACATAAAACGGATAATTGTTGAAATAATACAAAGTTATCAAAAACACTAAAAATATTAACCATAAAAAACATAAATCTTACCGCAATATTCGCATACATATTCTTTTGTATCATTGTGTGTTTCTTTATGTCGATTCAAATGTTGCGATTTATTAATTAAATTTTGAGATTTAAAACTCATTTTTTTAGATTTAAATCGCAAACTTTTCAGAGGTATTCTCAATTAATTTTATTGTAATATTCTTTGAATTCTTTTTGTAGTCCTTACGGTTTAAATTTTTTCGAATGTTTACTTTCAAGTTTATCCACCTAAAGTTGTAGGAAAATATAATTTTTTATTTTATAAATTTTTTATCAAAGAAATTTTTTATCCGAAAATTCGCTGTTAACGTAATTATTTTACTCATTGAACGCTTCATCCTTAAACACTTTGCAAAATGACAATAGAATATTGATGCCTAAACCATAAAAGGTGCTATAACGAAAAAAACATAAAAAAAGGTCTATGTTAAGAAATTAATGAAAATTTTTTTATACATGAATGTTTCTTCATTTCTTTCTGATTTACATAAATAAACAAATTTAAAAACATGGTTGAAAAACAGGGAAAATAATTAAATGTAATTCAAATTAAATATGAATATAAGAACATAATGTAAATAAGAAATAGTAATATCAAAGTTGGAAGCAATATTTTTTTATAAACTACCAATGAGTATGAAAAAGGAAATATTGAAAATAAACTGTATAAAAAAAATTGTCATTTGAAAATCTGATAATAGAAATTAGAAAATTCAGTGGAGAATAGACAATAGTGAAAATATTTCGTTCTATTTTACGTTCGACGGTGAAAAAAAGATTTAATTCCAGTAACAAAATTATAATAAAGTGATAGTCGTTATGAAAAATAAAAAAGAAGAAATAGAATAATATCAAAAGCAGACTAAATCATGGGTTAGAAATTTAATTTAAAAAACATGGGATTTTAAGACACTGTCTAGAGACACGGTCAACGCGATGCTACAAATGCTTTGAAATGTTTTTTAATTGGTCAGTTTGTAAAATTCTTTCTTCTAATTGGTCTATCAAAGAATTTATATAGCAAGACTTTGGCCGGTATTCATAGTCAGATCTTATATTCAAGATCATCTTAAATACTTAGAAGTCAGGTCTTAAGAAGTCACGAACCAATCAGAAAGCTGCATTGGCGATTTAAGACATTACTTAAGACTCTTGAAAAAAGACTCGACTATGAATACTGGCCTTTGAGTACAGCTTAGGCTGTAACTTCTGAACAGTTAGGCGAGTTAGGTCCCAAGTGGGCAGGACTTTTTTGTTCGGGACGGTAACCGTCCCAAATCAATAAACACTAATCTGTACACTCCAGTCTACATGACAGATCAATAATCGTGTTACGTGTTACATTTTAGTCAAATTTAATGCTCAAAATCTCGATTCGCAGGACAGTTCCGAACTTTTTTCTGTCAGATTCTTTCATTTTACGCAAAAACGCGTCGAATGAGCCTAATTTCATCGAAATCAGAGATGATCTAGCCTCAATAGTTGTCAATTTTAACGCTCAATATCTCGCTTCGCAGGACAGCCCTCGACTTTTTTCTGCCAGATTCTTTTATTTTACGCAAAACCGCGTCGAATGAGCCTAATTTCATTGAAATCGGAAGTGAGTAAGCTCTTCTGGAGAATTACTGAAAGCTGTAAACCATGTACAACATAAGTTCACAATTTTTCGTATATATACATAATAAGAGTAAAGCAGGCTTTCATTTTGAATGAAAACGCGTTGAATAAGCCTAATTTCATTGAATTGGGAGGTAAAAGGTAGCTTTTTAATAAACACTTACCGATCAAAGTACGTGTATATAGCACTGCATCAAAATCGATGTATTAGATTTCCTAACCTCAATAGTCGTCAATTTTAACGCTTAATATCTCCGTTCGCGACGCTTAGTTCTACTAGGTTCTTTCGTTTTGTGCAAAATCGCGTCGAATTAGTCCAATTTTATTGATTTTTGAGCTGCGCATGCTAAACTATACAATTATCAAAACGAAATCGAGGAATCACTATCCAAAAAAAAAAAGAGGAAATTGAATACAAACACAAAGAGTTATGGAAATGTTTCTTAACGCCTCAAAAACCGCATTGGTAATAACTTTTTACACACAGTTTCAGAATACTTATTATTTTACATTTAATCTATCTTATTTATTTATATTTTATCGTAGTCCCAGTTGTCAATCTATCAAACGATTCGTGTCGTTCTGGGGAATCCAACATGCGACTTGGATTCTGCTGTAAGTGCTCTGGTCCAAGGATTGTTAGAATATAGTGAAATCAACAAATGTGAACTTACCGATGTCGCCGTAATACCAGTCATGAATATACCAGAAAAAGAATTTCGTATTAAGACGGAAGTAGTTTATAGTCTGAAGTCTCATAACATCCCACTGAATTTGCTAACATTCAGGTAAGTCCTAAGCTTCTGGAAAGCAATCTGAGCGTTGTGCAATTTGATTATACTCTTGACAGAGATCAGATTGATTTGCAAAATATACAAAATGATGCCAACAAGAAACTGGAGCTGATTTTAGTTGATCATCATACACTTGCCAACGAGGATTTTGAGTTGAAGCCTTCAATCGTAATGATCATTGATCATCGGCCATTGGATCCAGCCTGGTCATGGCCGAATGTACTGTTAAACATAGAAATTGTTGGAAGCTGTGCCACTCTTGTTGCACGCAATGTCTTACAGAAGAATCCTGATATACTGGATACACAACTCTCGAGTCTCTTGCGAGGTAAATATTATTTTGATAATAGATTATTAATGAACGCAAAACTTTTATTATATAATATCCAATATTTTTTGCAGGTCCAATATTGATTGACACTTATAATATGTCGGATGAAGCTGGTCGAGCAACTGCTACTGATGTTGATATACTAAATGTTCTTGAGCAACTTGGTAGACTTACATCTGACAGAACTGATATATTTAAAAAGATTATGCATGCAAAAACAGACATCAGTGAATTGACTCTTGAAGAACTTATGATTAAGGATTTGAAAGTAACGAATGGGATACCTCTCGTTGGATTTTCCCTTTTAGTAGAAGTGCGATATTTGGAATTATTTTATTGATACTATGAATTAATTTTTTAAATTAATTTAAAGTATAATTTATAACAAATTTTAGGATTTTCTTGTTCGAGAAAATGCAAAAGAAGTTATTGAACAGTTTGCTAATGAAAGAAATTGCAATGTCGTTGTACTTATCGGGCAGGATGTGACCAAGGAACATGTATCTAGAGATATTGCAATCTTTTCAACATTATGTAATCAATTGGCGAACGATGTAAATATGATTATTTAACGTAATTGTTGTATGAAATTGTATCAGTATATACACACATATTTTTATCTTATTTACAGATAATTCAAGCGTTGGTTGAATCTACTCAGCCATCTCTAAATCTAGAATTAATTAAAGAAATTCGAGAAGAGAATCATAGTCTCTGTTTGTACAAACAAAGAAATGTGAAGGTAACACGTAAACAGATATTACCAATTGTACAGAAAACGGCATTATTACACGAAAATGAGAAAATATGATATATAAATACATAGACTATTGAATAAAAAAAATGTTGCAGAGATATAAAGTTTATTAATAAAAATAATATTTGAGTACTTTTATATTCTCTAGAGTGCCTCTTTGCATTATATAATGATAAATTTCCTGCTCCTTAATCATTAGAATTATAATATATTTTGTGTAAATAAATATATATATATATATATGTACATATTTATATACACACATATATATATATATATATATATATGTATAAATTTATAGTTGTATGTATGTTTTATTAACGATAAAATACTATAATTAAAATATTTAATATCCATGTATATGTAGGATATCTGTTCTTATTAGTGTGCCTTTAAGCTAATTGGCTAGATCTAACTGCTTTTATAATTATATGTCAATTTATATACTATGTATATAATCCTTTAAACTACGCGTCGAAATTATTTTTTTGGTCTTGAAATGCAAACTATACTAAACTATAACTCGCAATAATATCATGAGTTACATTTGGTGCTTTTCAGAAAGTGACAGAGTGTGTCACAGTGATCATATCATCTTCGTTTAACATTAGCAAACAACAAGAATGTAATGATTCACTGTGTCATCTGTGTCTCTTGCTGGAAAGCACCTATAAACTAGTAATTTAACAATTTGATGCTTTTTCGCAAGAAAAAGATAGACCAATCTTAATAATGTTTGAATGACATATTAAATAGCATTAACATTAATTGTTTAAGTTAATATTTCATAAATCCATTATTTTAATTGTACTTACAATTTCAATGTACACTTATAACATACCGCCTTTAATTTCAATACAGAGTACACTAACCGGGACAAGCTCAAAATACGATATTACTGGACTCACATAAATTTCTTATAATTAAAAAAAATGTTTACTGTACTTTAATAGTTAAAAAATATTATCTTTGGTATCTCATATATACATTAATAATTTAACTTAAAAGAAAAATACTTTTTCTTATTATGCTGATTTTCTTTATGGCTTAATTATAAATACTAAGATACAATAATAAAGACAATTATCTTATATGAAATCGTTTATATTAATATATCGAATTGAATATATTAAATTAATAGTGCATTTTGTTTTAAAAAAGGTTGACGCATTTGGAGTTTATGGAAAGCTTTTGTCGATGCTTGTATTGTGGAAAAATATCTCGATTATCGGGAATTTTATGATTTTGCGCAGTGAAACACTACCGCTATCGCCATTGGCTGTCGGAACGTCACACCCCTCGGCGTTATCACCCTGAAAAGTCCTTTCCTCCCGCGATATCACAGTGACCGTGGAGAGCAATGCCGCGACTATCAGTCACCCCTCACTCGCAAAAATGTTGCGGTGTGCGGGATCAGGATGTATCGTGAGTACTGTACACAGTTATTTTGCATTGTGCGATAGAGACATGAAAATGCGATCCGAGTGGAGCAGTTAAAGCGCCAAACTTGACGAGAGAAAGGGGCTTATTATTAACACGACGCACGTGTTCCATTTAAAATTATGAGACAGATCTCGGAGCATCAGCGGCTTCTGCCGAACGGTAAGGACAATGTGTAGAATGTTAAAGATCAAAGAGGAAATCTCTTTTCTACTCAACGCGGGAATCTCTAATGATCTTTCTTGGAATGGAAAATCAATTGCCGCGTTCGGCAAAAGATAAATAAAGGGTGGAAAAAAAGAAAAGAAATAAATTATGAAATACGCACGAGAATTTTTCCCACCCACGAAATAACGCATATTGATCGTTCCATACTTGTTGCGCAGAGACAACAGCCGGGTTAAGCTACGCCGAGTATCAACATCCCCACCCTGTGCGAGAGCGAAAAGCTGCATTATATTTCGCGGCTGTTGCCGTTTTGTAAAATTGCGTTTATTCTTCTGGATATAGACAGCGCATCGCGGTGTTCTCCTCCCTGTGAAAAAAACGGGGATGAGAGAGTTCCTCGAGCTGTATTATGATTTATAAATGTGCTCGGAGTATCAGTACGCGCCGCATTATCGCAACATATCATGGAGACCGTACGCCTTTTGATAAAAGTCCTAATACTGTTCAGTTGGTGCGCGAAGGGATTCATAATTGGGAACACTCTCGGTAAGTTGGTTTAGCTTTTCATTGCTTCGTTATTAACCTTTTTATACGAGTACATTTATTTTACAATATGTAGATATTTTTATAAGCTGGACTCATGGGATTCATGTGATGTCCTTTGACACAAAATTTGTTCTCTCTCTCTCTCTCTCTCTCTCTCTCCCTCCCTCCCTCCCTCCTCGTTCCCTCCAATCTTTAGATTTTTGAAAAAAATTATGATTTGTACTCATTATTTAATTATCAAAGATTGACTAACGGCACATATATAAATGAGATAATAAATAAGATAATTTCAATAATTATATTATTAATAATAACGACAAAGAAGCAATCTTAACTGTAAATATAAATGTAAAATGCATTTTTTATAATTATTTGTTCATATATAATTATATTTATTTTATTTATATGTTTACAGAAATAATTAAAAGCCAAGTTAATATTTAGTTTTTTGTAATATTCGATATTTAAATATGTAAAGAATATATGTAAATTACATAGTGCATCTATACTTCAATTCTGAAATATTCAAAATGTAATGATAATTATAATTTTAGAAAAATGTATTCTTCCACTCGGCATGGAAGAAGGAAAAATCCCGGATGAAGCAATCACCGCGTCCTCCAGTTACGAAATGAAATCCGTCGGTCCTCAAAATGCGAGGTACAGAAATTAACACGCGAAAATATAATAACTATGTAGTCATTGCAATGACGTACGAATATTTTTGTAGAATACGACAGGAAAAAAACGGTGGTGCTTGGTGTCCAAAGGCTCAAATTAGTAGCGCCATACGCGAATACCTGGAAATCGATTTAACGAGAGACCATCTTATCACGTGGACCGAAACCCAGGGAAGATTCGGTAATGGTCAAGGTCAAGAATATGCCGAGGCATTTTTTCTGGAATATTGGCGGCATGAAAAATGGCATCAGTACAAAGATTTAAGAGGGAACAAGGTATGTTCGATTATTAATAAAGATTAATTAAAAACTATTCACTTAAGATTTAATTTATAAAGATTGAAATATTTTGTAATTAAAGATTTCATAAAATATCGTTCTACAGACTTTTAGGAAAGATATATTAATCTAATTTTAATTTTCTTAACTTTCTAACTAAGAATCAATAACAATTTAGATTAATGCGTTATAAAAAAAAATAACATTTTAAGATTAATTTGTCCTATTGACAGATCCAAAAATTTGTCAAGGGGAAGGCCATTAGCGCACAAGTGGAATTTTTTTTAAGTCAAATATGAAAAGAGAATATTAAATTATTATTTAAATTATTACATTGAAAAAGTATTATTTAAATTCGTAAAACGTTTTATTTTAAATTATATTGACAAAAAAGAATAATATAATGAAATATATGTTTTTTATCTACGAGTTCCTTAAAAAATATTTTTGGAAAATATCAAAATTGTGATTAATTTTAGAAATATTAAAAAACATTTTGCTATAAATATTTTTAAAGAAGAAGATTTTAAGGAGGAAGGGGAGATTATAGTCCCTATGCCTGCCTCTCATGGATTTGTCAGTGATTTGTCGTTATAAAAAATGAATTTGTCGAAAAAAAGAATTTTTTTAAAACTCATCGAAGGCAGAAAATTTAATTATATTGACACTCCATTATATTTATATTTCAGGTTCTACGTGGCAATAGCAATACATATCTAGTTGAAAAACAGAAGTTAGATTTACCATTCGTAGCGAGTCGAGTGAGATTTGTTCCTTACAGTCAGCATCCTCGCACTGTGTGCATGCGTGTCGAGATTTATGGCTGTGTCTGGAATCGTGAGTGTTATACATATGCTATTTAATTTTACGTTTATTATATTTGCATTTCTCTCTCTCTCTCTCTCTCTCTCTCTCTCTCTCTGTATATATAAAGTTTTATAATAAAAATTAACAGTTTACTTTCAATTCTACGTTCATTTTGTATACATTCCATTTTTCAAAGTCCATTCTAAAATGGATTACGTGGGATTTTTTAAAATGATCATAGAAACTATTAATGCATATATTGTATAAGATTATATAGAAAACATATACATATATGTATATATATATATATATATATATATATTGTATATTGTATATATATATATATATAAATAAGTATTATATGTCTTGCATCTAAGAGATTGAAGGTAGTCGTTTTAAAAAATTTTTCTTTGACACACAAAGCATAAAATACTTATTTTTTTTTTATCTTCAATTTTATACAATGTACTCACTAACATGTTTCATACTCAATAATATGTTTAAAAATCTTAAGTAGTTTATTTTTAGGATCTTGACATGTGGAATGCGCCATATATGGATTCCTTGCTATAGTTTTGATCGTTCTCAATACAGTTTTAAATGCATCTAATTTTTATGAAAACAATATAATTAGTAGCATTATAAAATTTAAAAATATTATAAATTATAAATATATGTAATACGGATTAAAAAACACTAATGGATCGAAATAAATAAAGTAACCTTCATTGTTTATACAGAAGGCATTGCTAGTTATACCGCGCCTAAAGCTGATACAGATGGACCTAATAGGTGTAATGTTGAGGATGCGTCGTATGATGGCACGGAAATTGAGAATTTAATGTTGAACGGACTAGGACAATTAACCGACGGCATAGTCGGTAGCGAAATAGAAATCCTGGAATCCAATAGAATAACTAACTGGATCGGATGGCATGATCGAGATAATATAGAATTATTCTTTGAATTCCAATTTTCTCGGAAATTTAGAAATTGTACGATTCATGTGGCCAATCTGCCTGATTTAAATGTTGAGGTGCGTGATTCGATATAAGTTTCTTAATGTAATAATAAACTTATTTTAAATTCAACAATTTTTAGATGTTCTCGATAGTAAACTTTTGGTTTTCATTGGATGGCAAGGAATATCACGAAACACCAGAAACATTTCAAATGTTTAACGAGCCTAAGATTCCTAGTAACAGTAATGAAAAGGATGGCAAAAGTAAAAGTAGCGCCTTGATATCTATTCCATTGCAATTAAGACTTGGCAAATTTGTCAAGATAGACATAAAACCTCAATCAGAATGGTTGTTGCTAAGCGAGATTTCGTTTGAGACAGGTACAATTTGATTTCATTGCTACTATTACTATATATTTTATTTCCAGATGTAAAAAACAACACTGACGAAGCATTGGCACATTTGTCATGGATATATACAAATAGTAATGAGAATATATCCCAAATAATCAATCAGGATCAGATTGCGAGAATAAAACAGATCGACGATACAGAAATTAAAGGGGAGATTGGGGACTTAGAAATTGAAACTGATGACAAAATTGGAGGAGAAGTTAGCGATGGGAGAAAGATTAATATTCAACATAGAGGTACAATGATGGGAAAATCAAAAACTGTCTCGAATGAAACAACGTTGGTGTTAAACGAGTCGAATTTAACGCCAGATGCCTTTCCCGTGAACAATTCGCCAACATATATTGGGCTAATTAGTGCTGCGTTGACTATAATTGTTTTTTTTTCGGGTTGTACGATCTTCCTGATAAAGCAGAGAGGTCGCAACAAAGTGGCTCTGTTACAAAAGCATACCGCGTTATTATGCGGCTCACCAGCGCCTGGTATTACGATCAATACGAAGGATATCAAATTACCTACACCGATCGTGGTAAACAATCTGTCGCAATCTCGACTATCGTTGAAAAGCAAAATTGCGTCAAACAATGATTACAAATTCGACGATGGCGATTCGAGCGAGCAGCATAGTATTTATGAGAAGATTAATAAAATATCCCCACAACCATATGTCAAATGTGAAGCGAGATCTAATTATAAAACAGAACATTTTGGTATGTATAGAACCACATATCAATGACCGTTATTGACATTTAATAATTAGTTCGAATATCGATCGTCTCCAATCACAGAAGTGGTTAAGAAACTTTATTTTGTTTGATATTAGAGATCCAAACGCACACATACAAACACACACACACACACACACACAAAACAATATTTCTCTATATATAATCAGAATATAATGATTGTCCGATGATTAATAGAATACAATAATTTATTTGATTTGCTTCTTTCCATTCTATGTATTTAATAATAACTTATGTTTGCCCCAATTTTCCTTTACCAATTGATTTTAATTTAGTCGTGATTAATTTCATATTTAATAATATGAACATTAATTAGTAGAATAAACGAAATTATTTATAAACTTGCAGTAACAAGCATTATATTATTACATTTGTTAAATGATGTGTTCAATCAAATATTTCTTATGCATACTTAAATTATATTTTAGCATTATTAATACAACTTTGCATATATATATTTTTAGATACTAAAACTAGCGAAGATTTCACCGATGAAGTGGAATGTATAGTGCCAACGATGTTGAAAAAACTGAGTCATTCGCAAACGGGAAAAATTAATCAGAGAGTATATGAGAGTTATTATGCGGCTACGGACATCTTGACGGTAAGAAGATTCGCAATATATATAAATAACGATAATTTAAACAATTTTGCGATCGTTAATGCAATGCGATTAATCGATGCAGTATTACGGCATGTTGTAGATCAAGAGACGCGATCAGCATCCCATTGTGAGTCTATTCACGCCACTACTCATTCGGGATTCGATCGTATCATACAAACGCGGGACTTATGACGTTCCGCGTATCTCTCGGCATAGATTGAGAATCCTCGATAAGCTCGGTGAAGGAAATTTCGGTTTGGTGAGTCTTGTATTTCCAATTATTGTTCTATATGAATCGCTATAAATTCTTTTCTTTAGTTATTTTAAACGTCTTTTAATTTTGTGTTTTAAACGTCTTTTAATTTTTTTTTGTGGAGTTTTTAATTTTTTATTTGAAAAGTGAAGTCTTATTAAATTCTCTCATTTAAGTTCACCTATTTCTGACTATTGTTCTGAACATAAATTGCTATAAAAGCATCCTCTTTCTTCGATGTTTTTTTAGACATCTCTGTTTAATTTTTTTTTATAATTTTTAATACAAAAGATGTGCATCTTATTTAGGTTCATTTATGCGAAGCAAAAGGCATACAAAATCCAGATCTAGGCATTCTTCAAAATCGTCAAGTAGTTATAGTTCGATCCTTATGGCGCGGCGTAGTTGACTCTTTAAGGTAAAAGCATATCACAGTTTAATGAGTTTCTGCAAAGCTCTTGAATTATATATGAATATGTATTATTTTAGGGAAGACTTTATGAACGACATGCATATCTTGGCTGAAATACGGGATGTTAATATCGCTAGGATAATCGCGATCGTTGAGGAGGAGCCTTTTAGTGCCATTTTCGAATACGGAGAACTCGGGGATCTATCAAGTTTTTTAAAAAATCACGATCACGCTGCACCGATAAGGTAAGATTGCATAACAATTCGATCAGAGATTTCGTTTATTTTTTCCAAAAGTATTCACAAAATTATGAATTCCGCAGTTACGAGTGCTCGTTGAATTTGGTGACGCAAATCGCTTCAGGTATGAAATACCTTGAAAGTTTGAACGTACCGCATTGCGATCTAGCAGCCAGGTAACCATACATTCGTTATATATTTTGTGATAATATTACGTACATGTATTTTACATGTGTCAATACATTTTGTAGGAATTGCATTGTTTGTAAAGATTTGCTGATTAAAGTATCCGATCAGGCCATGTACTGCAGTAAATATGACAGTGAATATTATGTCGATGAGTGCTATGCGAAAATACCATTACGTTGGATGGCATGGGAAGCGGTCTTATCGGTAATTATTTTTTTTTTAATTAAATAGATTTCAAAAAAGAAAATAATCTTATTTAATCCAATCTTCAGTCATTCATATATATTTCATATATATATTTCATTTTTGATAAAATAATATAAAATTAAATGAAAATTGAAATGTTGAGAAGGACTACGAGCCAAAAATAATAGATTTAATATATTTAATATACATTAATAAAAGGTAATAAATATAAAAGTAGTGCTATATGAAAGTAAAATAATGATTCGATTCCGATCGAATCATTCGCAACGTATAATACTAATAACTATAAACATAATCAGAATTATAAATCGATTACAAACTAAAAACAATAAAAAAGGAAAAATATACTTCAATTCAATGTAAAAACAATAGCAATAATTCTTCAAACAAGTAGCGATGATTAGATCCGAAAATTCCGTATGTTTAAAAAATGTCAGTGTGTAAACAGGAAATATAATTTATCGTTGATATCGCCATTACAATCAGTTCTTTTTAAATAACTTGTTATCAGTCATAATAGATAAAATCGGTAATAATAAATCTGTTATGTTTTGAACAAATAATTAACGTCTTAGCGAAAGTAAGGGAAGGTAATATTGGTGATGAATTTAATTCCTGCTACTCGCTGCTAGAGGATGTTGGCTCCAACGCTTTCGACGATGAAGTCATATGTTTTGTAGTTTAGACATCATCACTTGCTGAAAATGATTCAATCCTCACAAGTTAGATTTTTCGACACCAAAGAGATTTTCCAATTGAAAATAAATCATGATAAGCTCTTTTTCCGATCTGTGCTTCTACACTACTTCGATCTCAAGAAAACCGCAGCTGAAGCGCCTCACTTATTATCTGAAATGTATGGTGATGAAATCCCATCGGAAAGAACATGTAGAGTTTGGTTTGAATGCTTCCGAAACGGTGATTTTGACGTAAGAGACAAAGAATAGCTGAAAGGATAGCTGAAAAAATTTCAAGATGTCGAGCTGCAAGAATTGGTCGTTAAATTTAAATTAACGGATGGGACTAGGACGATGTGCTGTATTATTGTTGCATCCAAATGAAATCGTTACAGCTGATCGCTACCAACGGCAATTGTGCTGTTTGAGTAACGAGTTGATGCAAAAAGACCACCCATAGCCAACAATCGATGCAAAGTTATTATTTTGTTGCATGATAACGCTCGACCATATGTTGTGAAAAGCGTGAAGCAGACACTTCTACAGCTTGAATGAGAAATCCTTCCTTATCCAACATGCTCTCCAAACTTTGCATCGTCGGATTACTATCTCTTTCGGTGCAACACGCACTTACGGACACACTTCTCCAGTTACGAAGAAGTCCAAAAATGGGTGGATGAATGAATTGCCTCGAAAGACACCGCGTTCTACCGCTGTGGGATTGCCCTATTGCCGGAAAGATGGGAAAAAGTAGTAGAAAATGGAGAAAATTACTTTGATTAAGGCATTCATTCATCTTCCCTTCGAAACAAATCAATTTTGGAAACGAAAAAACGGCAGGAATTAAGTTCATTATTTAATACAATGTAACGTAAATGTAGAATAAAAAATAGAATTATAAAAATATATAAAAAGCATTTATTTTAGTGAAAATAAAATATAATTTTCTAAAGGATTGTTTGGAGAGAGAAAAAAAGAAACGTTCAAAAAATTGAGACATTGGTCATTTTATCTGAAAATTTTGTAGATAATGTTTAAATTAAATTGAGAATAATACTTCTATGTTTAGGGAAAACGAAGCTGTCCATCCGACGTTTGGTCGTATGGCGTGACGGTTTGGGAAGTGTTAACGCGCTGTGAAGACGTACCGTATGCCGACATGACCTCAGAACAGGTGTTAGAGAACTGTGGCCTATGGTACTCGTTAGACAACGGCAGTAAGAAGAAATGTCCGCGAATTCTCGAGCAGCCGATGTTCTGCGCAGATGATCTGTACCGGCTGATGCTGCGATGTTGGTGCAAACTTGCGGAGGATCGACCCAATTTCCAGGAGATTTACTGCTACCTCAAGAAGCTGACTCTGGATTAAGTGTACGCAAATGCGAACGCATCTCTACCGAAAGAGAATACGAAAGACGATCCATGCTCCAGCAGCAGCGGCGGCGCGGACCAAATCGATTACAATCAGCTAAGAAGCATCCTGAATTCTTTCTTGATCGCTTTCGCAGGTGGCTCGAACTAATTCGCGAATTGAAGTCGATTCGAGAAGTCGTAAATGCCTAAACACGACAATGTAGGATGCTCTCTGGCCACTAAAATTACTGCTCAACTAGATTTATCTAATTTTGATTATATAAGTAAGTGTAGGCTAATAACATAATGATAAAAATTCAATGCGGCGGATAATCGCAAGTTTCTCGTATAATCTTCTACGCATGTCAAGAGGAATAATCTAAGAATAATCTTTTAATGATTATTTCCGTAACAATCAGTATTCTGCGAGAAACATGTGATTTCGCGAGCAAGAGAGATTCATCTATTTACTAATTGATTACTTTACATATCTTTCCTACGCTTATACATATATATATATATATATATATATATATATATAAATATATATAATATACATATGTGATACTCATTATCGTTTTTACTGTTAAAAAATATCGTTCCATTTCTTCTATATCTATTGTCTAGGTAGCCGAACGCAGTAAAATGACGATGTGAACAAGCTTTCCAACGAAACTTGTTGCAATTTTGCTCAAGTTTACAGATTTTGCACAAAGCTTTAGACGCATTTTGTCGGCTGAAAACTTTATCATCGTCAGAATTCGTTGCATGTAGCCGAAATGAAATAATATTATAAGTAAAAAATCAGCATAAACGAGCGTAATACTTAATTACGTCGAAGAATGACAATCAGTTTTGCTCATCTATTTATATGTACTTATTTTACGAAATAATATCACGATATACTCGTATTGATCGATTCAGCTTGTCCATCTTAGGAAGAAGGCGGATCATTCGATCTTTAATCAAATTTCGCAGTGGCGCAAGATTTTTAAATAGAAGTAATCTTCATATATATCCTTTCTTATATATATGTATCTCTTAAGCTAAGTCATTTCCAATTTTATTCGGAAATACATAATTCGGGATGTATTTGAAACGAGGGTGCTCTTTAATGAATCGCGTTATTAATTCTTCCAATTTAAGAATAAGATTGTATTCGAGCAATTTTTGTGTGCCAAATAGTAGTAATTCAGAAAGGATGCGTTTCAAGATGTAACTTTGTATGAATATTTTGTTCCAAATGGTTATAATTAGATCTCTAAAGCACTTCCATTTTAAGGTACACTCCGTGCATAATAATATCACCTAAGAAAACGATAAAAAAAGGAGCAAAAGAGCAAAAGATGAGAATCACAATTACGATTATTGGAAACAACGACGATAATAACGATTATGGTAAACGTACAATTTTAGATTATATATGTTTATAACAGATGTAACGTTTAATTAAATCAAATTTGTAATATCAATCATGCGTATTGTTTTCAAACGCAGATCCGATCTATAATCTTGTCTATGTGTATGTTTAAGGATTAGTAATTTCTTTAGATTTATTTAATATTGACAAAAAGCGTTTCAACATGTTAAACTTCAGAGAGACCAAAACTTTATTTTGCACATAATAATAATTATTATTAATAATTAAATAACTAATAAATAATTTTTTATAAGTTGATTAATACTTAATTACTCTTAAATCACAATTCATACAAGACGTACGATATTCATTTCTTTATGAAAATCCTCGAGGGACTGTTCCCAGCGCTCCTCGAAATATATCCCTAGCAAGAACTTCGCATTCAATCCGGTTTTTGTAGACCATGAGAGATAATGATCTAAATATAATTGTCTCTGTCTGAAATGTTACATGATACATAAAATAATAATGACATATTAATGATAATTACAGGCTATCTTACAAAGCAGCTCACAGGTTTACCTAGGACGTAGTCGACTAGCTCCAAATATTGCGCCAGTTATGCACATCGGCAAATGCATTTGTAAAGCCTCCACCCATTTAACTGCTACCTCTCCTAGCATCGTCGTCGGCATTAAAAGCATAGCATGAAAAATATCGTGCACTTCTCGATATCGTTGCATCACATAGGCCAGCTCAATATCATCGATAAATTGCACTATAGGTCTATCGTCGGGCGACACATTCTGCAATTATATAGCTCGTTCAATAAAACTCACATTTGTGGTTGTTCTCCAGGAAAAAAAAGATGTTATTAACAATACTTATCAATAGTAGTCTAATTGAAATTATCTTGTTAATTCAATGAAAGTATTAGTGAAATATTTCATTAAAACAAAAGCATGGCATGTTTGTTCCATTAATGTCATTGAATTAATAAAACTATTTTCAATTAGACTACCATTGATTGTTAATATTTTTTTTCTGTGCAGATGGTAAGATTTATCTTACATTGTCATTCAAGAAATCGCAATACGTTCTGCCCACAGTCCCAGGCGGCAGGTCTTTGAGGTAAGAAAGGTCGACGGTGGACGTATTTATGCGTGGCTTTTGCGCGAGTATACGTTGACCCTCATTTGTATTCTTCATTTGTTGATGACAATGCATGAGAGCGTTTTTACCGGTAGTTTCCCCCAAACACGCTATCATATCACCTCGAGACGGATTCGCCAACGATATAGCCGCCGAGCCCATCGAGAGAAGCACACGTTGCAGGGGGGATAGGGATACATAGTGCTTGGCATAGTCCTCCAGGAACGCCTCGCAGGCGGTCGCGAAACGGCCTGAAACCGAGTGAGGAAAGTAAGAAGATTTGAAACCGTGTTATCAGTTAATAAATAAAATTTATTTCCATTAAAGTATCTGTCAAATATGTACAAATTAATGCATATATAGATTAATATATTTAACTTTATGGCAACGTCGTACTCTAATTGATCTGCTTTCGTAATTAACATAATATTTATCTGGTAACAAGACAATTTTACTTTGGTATATACATATTACAGTCAGGTTGTCGATATTATTCTAATTTGGGTAAGTTAAAAAGCATCTTAAGATACGAGGAACAGAAATATTCATCAGCTATTCACCAGCTATTTGTCATATACACAACACCCTGTCATCATTCATAAGAAAGGAACATCTTAACGATTTGTTCTTAATTGTTCTTTGTACAACGCTTTATATTATACAGAGTTACAGCATTACGTTTTTATAAAAACTTACAATCATATGGCTTGTATCCTACTGGCCTGAGATTCAGTCAACAAAGTGTACTTTGGCTGCAGACTCTCTCTTTTACGAAATGTTACCCAGGTATATACTAAGCTACCTATCACACTTAAATTTAATCCTACAAAGTTCAACAACGAAAATATATAGTCTCCGCCGATCACCATACCGAGATACGTCACGCATATATTTTTCAGACATCCAATTATAGTAGTCGTCAGCGCGGAGTTATACAGTGTACAGAGGAGCGTACTGTACGATAGGATAAAACCCATTATGCACGACAATACAAACTGCAGAATAAACAGAGGATTTGTCCAATGGGGAAACTTTAATGCCAGATCTATATCGCCCATCCACCAGGCCATCAGGACCGTTGGGCCGAGCATAAACAAAGAATTATAATACATCAGTCCATATTTTCCTAATTCCTTAGAATCTAGCTTCTTCTTCATATATACACCATTAGCAGCGGTGAAGAAATCGTTCAAAAGAATAAAGACATAGCCTTCAAGATTGAAGGCAAGGTCGTTGAGTGCGGCTACCACTGCACCTAGGATCATAGTATAAACACTCAGCTGTATGGACAGACGCGCCTTGATGCCGAGGATGTAGTACTCGGCGATCATTGTCATGAGGATACTGAATCGCCTCAGGGCGGTGAACATCGGTAGGCTTAGCTGCTTGGTGCCGCCCAGGCCGAATATCATGTTGCCGATGTATATCAGTGGCAACGGCCATATCTTGGTGAAGGTCGTCACCTCCAGATTAGGGAACTCGACATAGCGCAGCCTCTTGGCGAAGAATAGGACCAATATCGTCGCGAACATCTGGCCGATCCCCAGCACTTGGAAGGATGGGAAGGCGTACGACGTGAGGATAGTTTTGTTGACAACCGTTATCATGAACGACGACAGGCCGTAAAAGAAAGCCGACGCCACCCGGACGAACATCGCGTTCTGCTCGTAATCCGTCATCATGGAAGGAAAGAACGGAGCAGCCTGCCGGTCTCTCTGCCACTGAATTCGCTCTTATCCGTTCATACGTGTCTCGTTATCCAAGAACACCGTTATTGCGATAAATAATAACACGAATTGAGGAACCTACGCTTAGATAACCTTATCATTCCTCTTCCGTTCATGGCAGCGGCGGCTCGGACATGTACTGGACCGGCTCCAGAGTGTAGACCTTGGTGCAATTCCACGTGAAACGTGTAATTGTCAAGTCTCAAGCGTGTGATACGATTGCATGCGACGAGAGTCCTTCGTCGAATCTCATTCTGCAGCAGAAAAAAACAAACCGTAACAGATGTAGACATGATGGACTCTGAACGCGCGAATTCTTAAATTAAGTTGGGATTTTCGTCAGCATTGTTAAAATTAAATTAATCATAATAATGTTGTGGTTTTAGGTGTATTTTTTTAGCTAAATTTTTTGTACTATTTAATCCATGTTACGCTTTTTCTCTGTAATTTGACTCTTTTAATTAAATTTATTGAAGAGACCATAGAAAAAATAAAATCGTTGAAAAGATAATAATTTTGTGAGATTATAATATTTTCAACGATTTTGTTTTTTCTACGAACTCTTCAATAAATTTAATTTGTATATTGAGAGATTTTTATCGAGCCCTTTTATTTCTTGCATTGTTACAAATATATATGCTTTCTGTAAAATATTTTACCTCAGATTATGATTATTTCCCTTATCAAGATCACAGGTTTTTATAAGCATGTCATATAACACGGAGATTGTACGTCTGAGATTCTTTGTTCAGACATCACATTCGTTATCTTTCGTGATACAACGTCGTTCCTTTCAGTTCTTATCTCACCACATTGACGTTGTATTGCATAATGATTCTTTAATTACAAGGCGACAGCGGAATTTGCCGGCACGGGTGCCGCCATTTTTTTCACGATCGACGATCATCGTGAATCATCGTGGATCATCGTGCAGTATGGATTTCAGCGATCGGCGGGAGGAAGGAGCGGAGGGGAGCTTCTCCCCCACGAGGACAGAAGGTTCGTGTATCCCTCCGCCGCTGGTTGCCATGACAACGACCGGAACGCGGAACTACTTTGCGGAAGTTCCCATTAATTCCGGATCGCCGGTGGCGGGCGACACGACTTCCTAGGTACCGCTCTTGAATTCGCGATACGAATTCCTTCACACGGTCGACCGAGTCCCGGAACGTGAGATCGTCAAAGTTCCGGCGAGAGCGGTGCCTTGAGAGTCCAATCGAGCGGTTGCGTCCCCCTGTCGCCCTTCAACGTTACGAGCCGACGTCGATCGAATCAGACCGGATTCTTCCTGAAACCGTCCGTGGAAAGGATACCCAGGATTCCCGATGTAAGTACGCGATGACAACTTTGTGTGAACCACGAATAGATCGCGTCCGACGACGAGACGTCCTGCAGGACGTTCGGGACATCCGCGAAACTGTTCGCAGAGGAATAAACGCCCCGTATGCGATGGGCAGTTCCGTCCCGTTCGGCGACCGTCGATCGATAATGAGGCTAATATTGACCGCTTGGAAATTGATTTTTCTCCCTTGTCTATTCGTGACACGATCGAACAGGCCTGTGGTGAATTTTTACCGCGGTTATCCACTCGCGACAGATCACGCTTTTATTTTTATTGCATCTCGTTGTCAGTCTCGATCGAAACTAGTGATATTCCATAGATGTGACTGTATACATATATATAAAAAAGAAAAATGATGAGACAAGAAATTGCTATTGAATAATATTAATTCTTTATAAGAATTTCTGTTGACAAATAAAATACTAATGGAGTTGTAAAAAAAATATATAAATATATACATATATCTTTATATTTATTGATTTTATTATATAATATGTATTTTCAGGTTAAGTAAAATATTTTTTAGTAGATGAAATTATATAAAGACAAATATGAGTCTTTAATTATTTAGATGTTTTATCAACACTAATCTATTTATTTTATAAACAATAATATTGGAAACAAGACCAGAAGATTTTAAGTTAAATTATTAATATTACTTTAAATACGAAGTGCCACGGTCTGAGTGTTGAGATGTTGAATTAACATATATATTCATATAAATGAATTAATTTCAGAAATGATAATTACGTGCCGATATGGTTGTCGAACTTTCAACGTAATCAATCTGAAATATTAATAATCCTTTCAAATTTTCCAAATTAATCTTAAAAACTGTAATAAACTTATTGCGAAAAATATTTCCTCAGCCGGGAGTCGAACCCGGATCTCTTGCATTTCGTGCGAGCGTCCTGAGCCTTCAGATTACCGAAATCTTAGCAATATTCTTCGAAATAACCGATATGTATAGAGAGTTACGCATTTTTTTCAGCGTGCGTGTATAACAATAATATTGGAAACACTTCGTATTTAAAATAATATTTATTTTATATTTCTTTGTATATGATAACAATATATTTAATGATTGTATCATATATTTTTAGATTTAATAAAATATTTTTTGTGGATGAAATTATAAAGACAAATTATAAAAAGAAATGTAAAAATCTTTAATTTGGATATTTAATCAACACTGGCTATATTTATTTAGTTATTTTTTTTTGATATAATGTTTTTTATATATATGTACTTTTATAGTCAGTAAAATATTCTCTGTAGATGAAATTATAAAGAGGAATATATAAGAGACTTTAATTTAGATGTTTAACACTAGATCAGTCTATCCATTTGCTTCATACTTCTTTCTAGACATATAACAATGTTTTTTGATTTTATTGCACAATATATTTTCAGAAATTCAATAAAATATGATCTGTAGATATACAATGAAAAATTTTTTATTCTTAAATATCAAAAGAATTTCAATATACAGCTTGTATAATTATTCCATTTATCTCATGTATATTTAGATTCGATTGCTTCAAAGATTTATATAAAACTTAGGAATAGTACATTAATGTCTTAACTGCTTCATAGCCCGTAATTCCAAATGCCACGAAGAAAGCTATCGCTCTCGTAGGTTGTTGTTGCAAAAATACGTATGATGCAGTGTGAGCTACGCGAGCAAGTACAAAGGTTCGAATAAGAATTTTGGCCAACCATGGCGAAGGTCCTGTTCCTAGCCAGAGATACGTGACAATGAACCATGGGAGAATATTCTCCAAATCATTTAAGTGTGCTCTGCGTACACGCTCCACGTCTGGATCATCATGAACCACCTTGCCTTTACCTGAGTGCATAACATCCTCTTGATTTGCGAATGCCTACAACATTTGATCATAATCAATTTCATTCTAGTTGCTAAATTCTGACGTAAACAGGTCACGTTGGCTGCGTTCTCAATTCACTATCAGTGCTAAGAATCTGTAGTATGCATTCCATACATTATAGATTTTCGACAGTGGCAGTGAATATCGGAATACAACCGATAACATCAATTCTCTTGTTTATTTAATTAAAAAAGAAAATATATACAAAATATTTTTTGTTAAACTCGAACGTTTAGAATCTTCTAAGAATAGATTTGGACATAACTCACATAATTTTTATTTAGAATATTTGTTGCTTCTAATGATTTCAACAAAATCAAAGAAAAAAAATTATTTCAAATTATTTCAAAATTATTTCAAAATTATTTAAATATTATATTACAACAAACAACAAATTTTTTCCAAACTCATATTTTTTGAAATTAAAAAAATTTTTTTTTATGAAATAATTTAAATAAGTCCTATGATTTTTCTAATTATTCTGCGTATAAAAATATTAGAGTTCAAAAAATTATTATAATAATTAACGAGATATTTTATTCTGATACAATTTGACATGAATGATATGAATATTAAATAAATATTTCATAAATTATTCATTTTTTGATAATTGTATCTTATTACTTGTATCTTAATACTTATATGCATAGAATACTGAGAGAAATTAATTGGTATAAAGAGAATGTAGTTGTTTTTAAAACAATGTGCAATTTGCAATATGCAACTACATATCTCTTTTAAAAAACAATTATGTATTTTCTTTACATACATAATTTATTCTATGCATAAAAGTGTGATACAGTTTTGTGTGTGTGTGTGTGTGTGTGTGTGTGTGTGTGTTATATATAATATATACATATATATATGTGTGTGTGTGTGTATATAAAAAATGTTTGATATATTTTATCAGAATAAAATATAAGTTCTCTTGAATTATTGATTTTTTATAATTCTACTTTAATATCTATTTTTAATATACAAAATAACTAGAAGAATCATATGTAAAAAAATCATATAATTTCCATTTAAAAAATTTATTATCTTGAGAAAAAAATTTTTTATAATATATTGCAAATTAATAATTTTTTAAATATGTATTTTGTTGTATCATTAAAAGCAATAGAGTTCTAAATGTTCGAGTTAAAGGAAACAGTTTATATATTATATGTTTATAGAGATGAAAGAAATGTTGAAGTAATTTTTATTTAGGAATCCAAATGTATTCAAATTACTTCCTGTTTCAAGTTTAATGACAGTGACAAACGCCTCAAGACAAACAAAATTTTATGTTTATAACAATTTAATTAGAGACAGTTTTTACATGAAAAAATGTACATAATATAACACATGAATACATATATTATATAATATATGATTATCTTATCTATGACTATTTTACTTACATTTTTTCTTATTCGCTGTCTTGCAGTTAACGGTACCATCGCCAGCAGTTTCAGAACCAATATGCTACCCCAAAAGCCAAATACTTTGAGTACTTCTGGATTTATTTCAGGCATCTTTTCTGAGCTTCGTCTTTTCGAATGTACGATGACTCTACTAGTTTTATATTGCACGTAGTCAGTAGAGTGACTTGACTGCTTGCTTGATAATATAACTTACGTTCCCTACTTCACCTACATACACATACACCTAAAACAGATATCTCTTACTATATATGCATGTACTATAGTACGTGTATATATAATGTGTTTATTAAAAGCGATTATAATGTTAATAGTTAATCTTTTAACATGAATCAGCAAATTTTAAATAAAGTGTGAGGAAAAAAAAGATTATCTCCTTTCAATTATATATTTATTGAGATAAAATTTCCTCATGTATCTAATATTTTTTGATATCACAAAAAATGAAATTAATTATATTTTTTTATATGTAAAGCATAAAACTGCATTCTCAAACATATTGGTTCTATTATTAAATTGGTTTTAAAATAATTTAAATATATAATTTTATTTAATCAAGTATTTATATTGAAACTTTGTTCCTTAATAAAAGTAGACTTAATAAAATTAAAATGAAGTCTAGAAATAGTAAAATATTCATATTTTTAGTTGCACTTTCAATTATCTTATTATTATACATTACACAAATAAAATATTTTGAGGACAGGATCATAAATAAAAGAAAAGAATCATAAATAAAAGATTTACAAGTGCATATCAATGTAGTAAAAGTGGTCAAATTGATAAAAACTAACATTTATGTTATAATTTTAAATTTTGAATTTTCGTGAAATCAAACAAAAAATCGTTTATATTTTTTCCAAACGATATACTGCTTGATGAATATTTAAAGATCAAAGGTTAGAAAGATACCGAGCATCTTTTTAACCTAACCTAACCTTGCGATCGACTCCCATAATCTCGCATATCCTCGTGGTTTCGTGCTCGTCGGCTTTTCTTTTGTCAAAAACATGACCAGCGACTATAGCGCAACATCAGATAACGAATTGCCTGTGATTGGCGTATACTTTCGGATCGGCGAATCCGATTGACGATTGGTTCCTTTTAAATTAATATCTTAATTTATATTAAAACGAGAAATTATTCCCTTATATGTACTATATAAATTTTTATATTTATTCTCTATAGAAATTATTCAATGTTTTACTTTATGCCCAAATATTTTTTATTATTCAAAATTAGAATGGAGCATTTAAAGTGTTACAAGCTGTGAACAATCAAAAATTATCTGTGTGTTCAAAAATTATCATTTTTGAAAAGCAACTATATGTGTTTTTTTCATCATCAATTTATTTCATTATTCTGTGCATAAAGGTATCAAAGTATATTTAAAAATCAATAATTATACGAGGTATTTTATATTTTATGTCGAAATGTGCCAGAATAAAGTATAATCCCATAAACGATTAATTTTTTCATATTTCTTAATACTTTTGTAGACAGATTAGTAGGAGAATAATATGTAAAAAGATATATCATTCTATTAAAAAAAAATGGAGGTAATTTGCATGACCTTGAAAAATCGATTAAAAAAATCTATTTTATTATTATTTGTTCTCCTTGAAATCGTACAACTTTTGTCTGAACGTATTTTTAATTTGACACATTTCCAGGAATAACAACTTGTAATATACACTTTAAATGTCCAATTCTGTATATACTGAAAGCGAATTGAAGTTAAAATTTTTATCAGGAAAGCTTATATTTTATTAAATAAAGATATTATATATTTTTGTATATGAAAATGTACAATTTTATAAATCATTCTTAAATTTCTAGGTATAGTCGTGACCGAGATCAGAGTAGTAGAGGTCGTCGTGGTGGTACTGCGAAGATAGGAATAAGTACTGGCAGAGGCGGCATCGATAATGGACGTGGTGGTAGCAGGTTTGGCACACCTAGAGGAAACTCCAATAATTTGCGAGGGGGATTGAAAGGAAAGCAACCTGGTGGCGGTCTAAGGAAAGTAAACTGGGATCTTTGTACTTTGGAACCAATACGCAAAGATTTTTATATAGAGCATCTCGCAGTCAGGAACAGGTATTAGTACTATTAGTGATATTAAATTTAGTTGGGACAAACAATGAAATGTGCTCACGACTTTAATTCTGAGTTAGATCTAACGAAGAAGTATATCATTTTCGAGAAAATGCAGAAATAACTGTGAAGGGTGACAATATTCCTAATCCTATACAATATTTCGAGGAGGGAAACTTTCCACCTTACGTGATGGAAGGTATTCGTAGAGAAGGGTATTCACAGCCTACTCCAATTCAAGCTCAAGGATGGCCTATTGCACTTAGCGGCAGAGATCTTGTTGCAATCGCTCAAACTGGCTCTGGAAAGACACTTGGAGTAAGCAGAATTAGAAGTATATTTAATACAAAATAATAAATAGATATATAATATAATAGTAAATACGTATAATATTTATACCAATGAGAGAATTTTAGAATATTTTATTCGTTTCCCATTTGTCCAATTATTTAAATAGCTTTACATACATACTTTACATAGTTTCAATAAAATATTAATTAATATATTGGATATATGATTTAAAGATGTATTTGTATGCGTTTGTATTAGATTATTTTATTTTCTTTTTTCAGTATATTTTACCTGCAATTGTGCATATCATACATCAACCGCGCATAAACACTGGTGATGGACCAATTGTCTTGATCTTAGCTCCAACCAGAGAATTAGCTCAACAAATTCAAGAAGTAGCTAATAGCTTTGGAGAGACTGCGGCTGTAAGAAATACGTGTATTTTTGGCGGAGCTCCAAAAGGACCACAGGCACACGATTTGGAGAGAGGCATTGAAATATGCATTGCTACGCCAGGTAGACTTATAGATTTCTTAGAAAAAGGAACTACAAATTTATGTAGGTATGTATATCTATAAAAATTCAGTGATAAATCAAAATTATCTGTAAATTAATAATATGAATTTACACAATTTAAATATTCTTGTATTCGTTAATTTTAGGTGTACGTATCTAGTTCTCGATGAAGCCGATCGTATGCTTGATATGGGATTCGAACCTCAGATACGAAAAATAATTGAGCAGATACGCCCCGATAGGCAAGTGCTAATGTGGTCGGCGACGTGGCCTAAGGAAGTTCGTGCACTTGCAGAGGATTTCTTAACAGATTATGTTCATCTCAATATCGGTTCTTTGACTCTGTCGGCCAATCATAACATTACTCAAATCATTGACGTTTGTCAAGAGTATGAGAAAGACTCGAAGCTGTATAGATTGCTTCAAGAGATTGATACTGAAAAAGAGAATAAGACTATTATATTTGTGGAAACCAAACGTAAAGTGGACGATCTCACGAGAAATATTAGACGTGAAGGCTGGCAAGCTGTGTGTATTCACGGTGACAAAAACCAGCAGGAAAGGGATCATGTGTTACAAGAATTCCGCAGTGGAAGAGCGCCAATTTTAGTCGCAACTGATGTAGCCGCTAGAGGCTTGGGGATGTAAAATTCTATTCAGCAATGTTTTGGTGTAGGCGAGACACTAAGAAAGTCACGGTGAAACTGGGTATTGGCAACACTTATTGGATTAGCCGGATGATGCGTTGTTAGAGTGAGGCCAGCCGACAGCTGTGTATGTAGCAGTGTGTGATGCATTGGAACTTTTTTATCATATTCGTCTCGATTATATTGTAGAGCCATGTAAAATTGACGTTTTTCTGATTTATGCCTTTTTACATTTTTCATTCTGCAATTTTTTGTTCTGCGATTACAGGTGTGTCAAACCTTTTTTAACAGTTTGCTGATTTATTATTTTTTTTATGTAAACCCATTTTTTTAAATCCCATTTTTGTCGTATATAAATAAATCTATATTTTTTATTTTTATGTAAAAGTCATAGAAACGTTTTTGCTACATACTTCAGTGTTTAATTTATAACTGTATTTAATTGGTATATGACTAGTTTCAGTGTTGAAATGAAGAGTTATTAATTTTGATAATGATATACATGTAAGATCAAGGTTCTGAAAATGCACACAAGCTACCACTAAGTCTGTCTGCTTTTCTTTTTCAGAGGCACAGAGTACCCTAACTCAACGCGGTGTACTGCCAGTATTGGGCAGACACAGTGACTATTTTATTTTCCTTTGCTTATATATTATAACAATTTCTAAATGGAAAGCTAGATTTATATACGATTTAACTTCTGTCTTAATTTTCTCATTATGGAATAGCAAAGTAGACTTTATAATCATTAATGCACTAATCAATCATCAATGCATTAAGTAATATGACAATCACAATGTATGTGTGTTCAAATATTACTTGTAGTAATTAAAAAATGAAATGGGTTTCCTTTAAACAAAGTTTCAAATATATGAATTAATAATTATAAACATATAAATTTGTAATTGCAATATAAAAACTTAAAAAATGCAATTACTAAATTTGTTATCCAGTGCCTCTAACTTTAACTTTAAGAAATGATCATACACAGTGCCTATCAAAACTAATGCACTCAGGCTTAAACCCTAAATTGCTGCCTCTATCCCAAACCAGACACAACCGCTGTGTCTGTCTAATCTCTAGGCCGCCAATATATTACCATAAGAAAGCAATCAGAATTGCCCCACTTTAAAAGCAAACGGGGTCGTTCTTGCTGATTTCACATCGGAATTTTCAAACAAAAGGTGGGTGTCTAAATCTATTTTATTGACTGAATTTATCTGGAAATTAATGTCAATAATTTTTTACCAAAATGTATTTTATTCAATATGCATTTAAGTTATTTAACACTTATTATTAGAAGTATATTTTTCTTTTATTTTTTTAAACATCAATCATTCTTTATTAATATCTAACAATATCTATATGCATAAACATGTATTAATATATTATAAGTATTATAATATATTTAATGAGGAATAATATCAATTTAGTTTTTGAATTCAGAAAAAAATTATAAAATAACATATATATATGTATAATATATATATATATAATTATATATATATATATATAAATTACAGATTTTTTTAGTTTTATCAAGATATTTGTTTTATATTATCAATATAATATTATTGATAATATTTTTCGTGACTACTACTTTACAGATGTGGATGATGTGAAATACGTGATAAATTTCGATTATCCATCTTCGTCGGAGGATTATATACACAGAATCGGTCGAACTGGACGTAGGCGACAGACCGGAACTGCGTATGCGTTTTTCACAAGTCACAATATGAAACATGCCGGAGACTTAATAGAAGTTTTACGAGAGGCGGGACAGAATGTCAATCCGCGTCTCAGTGAAATGGCAGAGATGGCCAAGGCGGGAAATTTCAGCAGAAGTATGTTTTAGCTTAGAGTTGAATATCCATATTATCCAAATTTGTCTACATTTTATTCTAATAGTTCTTACGCAAAGTAAACTTTGCTCTTACCCTAATAGTATATGATGAATGGGGAAGAAAAAGTTCACTTTATGGACATTTAATAGTGATCATAATCACTAGATGTTCACTCGATTATTTCATATATTTCATATGATAAGGTGTGAAACGTTTCGGCGGTTCTTCTGGTGTTAATGGCGTTGAAAGGAGTAATAACCGAAGAAGTAATAATGATAGAGGAAGAGGTGGCGGTTCAACAAGAGGAAGAGGCCTTGCTCGCAGCGGGACCTCTTATCAACCTTCTTCAAATGTTTATTCGGGAACGGATTATAGTAATTATAGTAATTATAATATGAAACAGAATACTTCTTTGAGCCAGAATACGACATATGGATATAGCACGCAAAGAAGCTATGGACAAGGAAGTATGCCTCAAAATTATGGAGGTGGCGATAATTACGGAAGTGGTTATCCATACAGAAGCACAACTTATTAATTCTGTTTTTAATGGATGATTAATAGCACATATTAATTCTGTTTTTTAATAGATAATTGATAGCATGTAACAATTCAATGATATAAAATGTGTCACGTTTAGTTATAGTGAGATTCGACAGGATGCAGATAAGAGTC